AGAGAGAGAGAGAGCAAAAACAAGACCTGGAAACTGAAAGCTCACACACTGCAGGAATAAAGGACTGAGTCATTTCGCCAGCTAAATAGCCCCAAACAGCTGAGGTTTATCTGACAATGGGTGAAGTATGGAACCGGTAGCCCAAGACAGAAGCTATACACAGCTGTTATACTGACCAATTATAGAAATGAGATCTGTAGTCGTTTTGCTATTGTATATCTTTGTATGCTACACATAACATAATAATGGAGCTGATTCTCTTTGATTAAATGGAACAAACATTGACTGTGCTCCAATCATGTCAGACATAATAGAGGCTGAAGAGACGGCTTTTGTTTGCATGTGATTATTTTTTTTACGTTATTTCCCTCTTTCTTTCTTCTTATTGTATTTTATATGCAAGTGGTTGGCAATTAACTTTAGTCTTTAGGTAGCAGAATGTTTTATGGAATTGTGATAGGATGTGAAGAAAAAGTAATATAATCACAATATGCATGCAATGACCATGAGTGCTTGTATCTCTTCATGGTGGGAAGTCAGACCACCTTGACTTAGATGATGGATAGTGTGGTAGGTGAAATACAGAGCTCTTTTGTTGGCTATGGGAGTCAAATGTGGGATAAAATAATGCATTTGAAAGCTGAGTTGACAACGGTAGACTGGGCTGGTTATCAAGGTAGTGAGTGCCTCCCAGCTCCAAATTTACTTTTCATTGCCTGTTCTGCAAAAATGAATCTAAGCTTTAAATATGTTTTCTTTGCCAGATGGCCTAATGTTAAGTGGTTTCAGTTGAAGATGCAGGAGAGCTATTTATTGCAGGAGGAAAAAGTTTTTTATTCCGCTAGTAGGATATTTGCTAGCAGGGTCCTACGGTGCACATGGTTTCTCAATGCCAGGCTCCTATTGCATGGACAGGTTTTCTAACATCCAGCTGCTGCACACACTCCGGCCAGCTCCACCCAATGGTCAGCAACTTTCCCTGGCACCCTCCAATAGGTGTCTGTATCTGAATACCTCTGTTGAGACATTCTCCATGAACATCTTTCCAAAAGTGCCCTATAGTTCATAGTTCAAGCAAACTCAAGAGATTTCCATAAAATTCTGCTAGAGTTTTATCATCGTGAACTCTCTGGCACTCAGTGAGCCATGGCTGGGTCTTGGATGTGAGCCCTAGACAAACCTCCTCTCCTGGCATTCCGTTTCATTATTAAGGATAGTGGCTACTTCTGATATCTACTATTGCTTTATCCTTTAGAGTTTTCTTTACTTATTAACTAGTTCCTCATAGCTCCAGTCTCCTGTTATAGTTAAACGTGATTGATATTCAAAATGCAATATGTTAGAGTATCAATGAATACGCCCAGCATCCAGATTTTGGTTCCTAAATACCATTCTTTAATAAGCACATGCATGGGTCCTTGAAGCAATGGCTGTTTTATGACTGGTTTTGGAAAACGTACAAGATGAGACTGGAGTGCATTGTGGCACTAGAAAGTAAGGAAGTGCTCAAAGACCAAAGAGCACTGGCATATCAGAAGCACACAGAAGATAACTGGGTGAGAGGCATGTGAAAACTCTTTGAACTATTCTGGAGAATTTGGCAAAAATCTAAAATTGTTCCAAAATAAAATGCTTACCCCAAAATATTGTTGTGGTTTGTGTCTTCTGATTGAACCATGACTGATACAGGGATCTAGTCCAAGTATCAAAGTAATCATTTTTAATGGCTCTGATCTTCAAATCGACATACACAATAACTGAGAAGGAGATAGAAAAATCAACCTCTTGGAGTTCAGGATGTTTTAGCTGTGTCACTTAGTCTATTGCTTGAGAACACATTCTGTTTGAAGAATTATGTAGCCAATGGTAAACAAAGAGATAAATTTGCTAGCAAGGGTAGCTGCCACAGACAAATCCCTAGCAACAAGACTCGGGATTTCGGTTTCTGGCTCAGAATAAAAGGGTTTTACATGCTTTAAAAAATTGTCAGGAATGTTTTTCTCAAAACGCCTTTAACGATTGCAGATAGCTATTCAGGGTAATTTGTTTGGGCTTATTATGACGCCAAACCCTGAATTGTAGACAATAAATGAGAAGTTACCTCACTACCACTTTAAAGGACTGAAAGAGCTTCCATGCTCAGGATTCCAGACAGTTCATTCTAAAGTCAGTACCCTAAAAACAAACCACTGTTCTATTTTCCAGAAAGCCTGAATCAGTGCTGATGAGTTTGAAGCCCAAGCGAGATTGATTTGGGCTTTGACCAAACTTGGCAGCCTGACTGCGTAGCTTGAGGTACTCTGCAGTCCTTCTGGAACAAAGTATGAGTGCCAACTGAGGGCGTTTTGCAGCATCCGAAGCCCTGGGATTAGTAACAAACTATGTTTTCAGATGAGGAATACAGCCCCCTCTTCCCTTTCCCACCAACTAATGATAATGTTATTTTTCTTTAAAACGTCCAGGCACAACTGAATTTTAAGCTGGAAAAGTTAATGAAAGCAACATCTCATTTGAGGTCAGTCTGCCAGAAAAATGGACATGAGCCAAATCCCACGTCCCAAACATTTTGCCTAAATGGCATGGCATGTGAAAAGACTGCCCACTCTCCTCCTAATCTCTGACAGAAGCCAAACAACACCCCCCGCCAGACAGTTACCCATTGAAACCAAGAACCTGACAGGGACAGAAAGACGCACGCACACTATGAGAGGGGTAATCACAAAGTGTCTTTCATAAGGAATCTTCTTTGCCCAGAGAGCCTCCGGGTTTCCCCGGAAGGTGCAGGTTCAGGAGCTCATTTTACAAGTTTGAAACAAGCCTTTCTAACAAGATACGGCATAAACGCCTCAATTTCAAATGTAAGGTAGCCAACTTTGGGGGGGGGGGGAAATCAACATATTTAGAAAGCTGAAAGTCCTTTCGGGCTAGTTTCAAAAAGTGGCACAAGAGTCTGATATATGATATGTGTGTGTACATGTATATGTATATTGTATGTATATGTCAAGTGTGTTTCATTATATATATAAAACACTATTTCCTTTTGTAAATGTGACATATCATGAGTTACATTTTAACTACACTTCAATTTCCTCTGATACTTTGTAAGGCAAAGAATTAAAAAAGGAAATATAGAGGAACAGGAGGTATATGCAATGAACAAGTGTAGCAATGAGTGAAGTCAGAAGACAAGTTTTAACCCTGGAATTTACAAAAGCTACCGTACTGCATGGAACGTCCACTGACTCTTCATAACAATGAATATTACATGTGAGGTGTGGCCTGGTTCTATTTTAAAATGCCATCATTTTAGGAGTACAATTTTAATATATTGGAGACAAATTATATACCATTTTGATTTGGTTATAAAAGAACCCAATTTTAAAATTCACTACAAATATGTCTATTTCTCCCAAACTATCCCAGGAGGTTCTCATTACTTGCTTATCAGAATTCTCGGATAAGTAGATATGTTAAACATTGAACATATCAATTTTACTTCTTAATGAAAGCCAAAAGACGGTGAATTTTAATACGCAAGAAAGTATCTGAGTTAAATTAAACAGGTTGAATGAAATGCTATGCACTACAACTGTCTTGCTGAAAGTCAGGATATGGTGTTCTGGACCCCCTCTGGGAAATGCATGTATAATCACAGAAGTATCAGATTCTTACAAGCTCTTTCCAAGTAAGTTTCTTTACTCTCAATGGACAATAGGTCTGTATGTTCACATGCAAATGGGGCTGTGCTAATGAGCTGGATTTAGGACCTACCCCCACGTGTTGTATAGGGATGAAGAGGAAAACTCTTGGCCCGGGGTAATCTGCAGACAAGGCAGCCCATACAGTAGAAACTATCCCAAGACAGACAAGAGCAGGTGGGCACTTACCACTGGAGCAGTTGGTTCCCCCCCAGCCAGGCTCACACTGACAGGTGTTTGGAGCAATACAGCGACCATGGACACATTTATCAGTGCAGTGGGCTGTCAGAGAGAAAAAGAATCAAATAAAGGAAGTTGGCAGGAGGGAAAAACCCTCAACCACACAGCTGTTTCACATCCCCGTCTCCAGTATCACTTAAAAACAACATGCATGCTTGATGATGTTCTTCAGTCCATTCTGCAACCCTATCCTAGTCAACTGTGTAACCAAACAATTCCTCTTCTTATTTTGGTACTACCAAAGAAATTCCTTGATTTCTACTGCCTAATTCTACTTCGTGATGCATTAGGAAAGAAATTTCAAGGAAAATTGCCTAATCCGTTTAAAAGATATATTGTCCATCCAACACATCCTCTTTGTGCGTTTCAGGAGCAGCACGCATGGAAATAACAACACATCGGAGGACTCCAGAGCAACCGAGTGTACCAAGAGGTGATTTTGACCCGGGCACATGCCCCAGAAACAATTGTCAGGTTTTTTAGTGAAGACGTTAATGACATAGAAGAAATGCATGCTATTTTACTTTGAGGAGACTAAGAAACTCATGCCATCCAGTTCTATGGGAAATTGTAAATCTCAATTCCTCTAACATTCACCTAACATCTTGGGGATAATACTATATTTGAAGGCAAGGCAGCATTATCGCAAATAAGAGTGGACGAACAGTCTGATGAGATGCAAGGGGCATAAAAATATGATGCAGGGTCCACTGACATCACCTTCAAACTTCAAGTCCCTCGCAACCTTTCAAGTATTGGGGTATGCAAATAAATGTGAAGAACCTTGATAGTGCAGTAAGTTAAGGCACTGGGGTGCTAACTACAAGGTTAGCAGTTTGAAACCACCAGCTGCTCCATGGCAGAAAGAAGAGGCTTTCAGCTCCGGTAAAGATTGACAGCCTTAGAGACCCCCACAAGTAAGTCTAATCTGTCATATTGGGTTGCTGAGTCAAAACCGACTCCAGGACATTGAGAACAACATTGTGAGAACAACTGGGAAGGAAGAGTTTGGGCTTCAGAGGGTCCAAAGTTGTTTGAGGGTGAATTAAGAGGACCTGGGGTTAGGTATAGGATGCTGGCCACAAAGCCCATAATTCAAACCCAGCATCCGCTGCAAGGGAGGAAAAGAAAGCTATCTGCTTCCGTAGAGATTCATAGTCTTCGAAGCCCTATATAAAGGTTGCTATGAGTCAGAATTCACGCTACGGAAGCTAGTGTAATTTTGAAGAAGATAACCCATGCTTTATGGATAACTTTTAAAACTTGACTTATTATCAAAATAAAACAGGCTATTAGGCACCACCTATGTATTTTAGGAGGTTCTCAGCACAGGGACCCTGGGGTCCAAAGGACTTGTTCTGCTCCCAGCTCTTCTTTCTAATCTCTACTCTGTTTAATTTCTTTTACATATCCAAAGAGATGGACTAAAGACACAACTTAATTCTGTAGAGTATGTCCTATTTCATTAACCTAATAGCCTGTAATCCTGTCAACAACATCCCGTTGTTGTTAGGGAACCTTCCGTTGGTTTAGGCTCCTGATGACCCTGTATGCATCAGAGGAAAACACTGCCTGTTCCTGTGTCGTCCTTAGAACTGTTCTTACGGTTGAGCTCATTGGGGCGGCTGCTCTATGCTTCTTGTGCAGGACCTTTCGTCATATCTTAGTGCTTTCTGGTCTGGGGAGCTCATCTCCCGGCATGGTGTCTGGCAAGGTTGTTTCCGTTTGCAAGCTCTTCAGTGCCTAATTTCTCTGAAGTGAACAGCCTCTTCGTTTTTCGTAGTCTGTTCTTCGTTTGGAAACTCGGCTGAAACCAGTGATATTCATAAGGTCTTCAATATCTGACAACATTTCAAGGCTATCCATAGGGTTTTTAGTGCCTAGTTCCTTTGACGTGAACAGCCTATTCCTTCTTTGCAGTCTGTTCTTGTCTGGAAGCTCTCCTGAAACCAGTTCATTTGGGGTGACTGGCATTTGAAATACCAGTGATATCACAGCAACACACAACCGCAGAGAGGTTAGAATTTTCAACACTGGGTAATTACATGCGATCACAAAATGAAGGACAATTACATAATACTAAGAATCATACTTATTCACCATACTTATTCAATCTGTATGCTGAGCAAATAATCAGAAAAGCTGAATTACATGAAGAGAGATGCGGCACCAGGATTGGAGGAAGGCTTTTTGACAACCCGCTATGTGCAGATGACACAACCGTGCTTGCTGCAGGTGGGGAGGACATGACGGATTTATGGATGAAGATTAAGGACTACAGCCTTAAGTATGTATTGCACCCAAAGCCTCACAACTGGACCAAGAGGTCACATTATGGTGAATGGACAAGAGACTAAAGTTGTCAGAGACTTTGTCTTGCCTGGATCCACAATCAATGCTCATAGAAAAGTAGTCGAGAGATCAAAAGACGAGTTGGATTGGGCAAATTTGCTGTGCAAGACCACTTTACAGTGTTGAAAATCAAGGATGTTACTTTGAGGACTAAGGTGTTCCTAATTTAAGACTTCAGATTTTCAATTGTCTCACATGCATGTGAAAGTTGCACAGTGAATGAGGAAGCTGGAAGAGCAATCGATGCATTTGAATTGAGGTGTTGACGAAGGATATTGGAAGTACTACGGACTGCCAAAAGGACAAACACATTTGGCCTGGAAAAAGTATGGCCAGAGTGCTCCTTAGGGGCAGGGATAGTGAGATTTGTCTTACATGTTGTGGACATGCTGTCAGGAGATTCCAGGCCCCGGAGAAGGGCATCATATTTGGTAAACAAGAGGGGCAGCAAGAAAGAGGAAGGCCTGGCAGAGGTGGGCTGACACGGTCACTGCAGCAAGAAGTTCAAGCACAGGAACGATTGTGAGGGTGGTGCAGGGCCGGCAATGTTTCATTCAACTGTGCACAGGGTCACCAGGAGTTGGAAGGGACTCAATGGTAGCTAACAACAGCAATAACAACAATCACTCAGGCATGTTGATGCATATTGGGAGCAGGGACCATAGCTCAACCCATAGTAAGATTTCTCCAAAGAGGTTCTCAGCTGCCTCCTAACATGCAATTTGAATAATTACCTATTTTCGTTCAAGTTAGAGAAAAATATGCAAATTTCTGCAGCGACTCTTTGGGCCCCCTAGTTCTCTACAATGCTGACGTATGCTTCCAGATCAAATCAGTTTGTGCCAAGCTCAGGGCCCCGTTTTCCCTGCTATGTCTATGCATGCGCTCAAACAGGTGGATGCAGCATTCATGCAGCAGGTCAGAACTTGAAGCGCGTCTTTGTCTTTTTTTTTT